GGTGAGAAGCCACGCATCTTTCAGTTCCTGGAGCCCTTAAGCAAACACCCCGACCCACAATTCTTCGGTGCGGGCTTTACAACGGCTTCGTCAGTCCATGTAGCGATGTTTGTGTGTTGCCGTGCCTCAACGTCATCCACGGCAATGTTTAAGCACCCATATTATTGAACACCAAACGCTGATGCAGATGCGAGAAGGCAGTCATGGCTCAAAGGCTCAAAGCAAAGTCTTTCAGAGCCCTTCTTAAGATGCAGCATTGAAGTTACACATGTCACTGGCAAAACTGGATGAGCGACATAGTCCGTGCGCCATGAGTCAGCAGTGGGCAAGAGGTCTTAGCTGTCTGTCGTGCGCCCTAACCCTTAACCTTTGCAGCCTAGTATGCACCTCCTCCAGCCACAGCAGAATTTAAACATAACATAATGCGCCTCAGATCCTGAAGCTTCAACAACCATTAATCCCTTAAGCTTTAAGGCCCATGTCGCAACCATAGCGGATGATCCTCCGCGTGCTGGGCCGAACCTTCAGGCTGCCATGATGGCTCAAGAAAGGGCTTAGGGTTTAGGGTTTAGGGTTAGGGTTTAGGGTTTAGGTTTAGGGTTTAGGGTTTAGGGTTTAGGGTTTAGGGTTTGGGGTTTGGGGTTTTGAGTTTTGGGTTTTGGGGTTTCGGGTTTAGGGTTAGGGTTTAGGGTTTAGGGTTTAGGGTTCAGGGTTTAGGGTTTAGGGGTTGCTTTGGCTCTCGTCTGTTGCAATCCAGTCCTCCCGTCGCCGGATCTTCTGGTTCCCTGGGGCCCGTTGGTTCTCCGTGTCCTCGGGTCTCTCTGGTCCTTGCTCCCCCGGGTCCTTTGACGTTCTGTGGGTCCGTCATGCCTCTGGTCCTCTTCTTTCTTCTAAGCGGCCGTGCAGAATTCATTCCAGCAGCATCATGTGATTCCTGCGCCTTCAAACCCCACTCCGATAAGCCGTTGATTTGTATGAAACTGTACACGCTCGCCTCAAACAACCCCGCCCCATCCCACACACCCCTGCTTATTTTGAAGAAGGCCTGCATGCTGCGGCTCCAAAAGCATCATCCCGTCCCTGCGCTTGCAAATCACCCGCACATGCTCGCCTCAAGCAGCATCTTCGCAGATGCTGCTTGGGGCTTCGCTTGCCTGAACCCCCCTGATGTGCTTATTTCAGCAAGCTGCGCATTTGCAGGGCTGTAGCCCATAAAGCCGGCGGATGTCCCAATGTTCCGACCACCTTCGTCCGCCCCGAGGGAATCGACAGGGACCGATCCCTCGAAGATCGCAAAGGTGCATGGAACCGAGGCGAGAGCGTGACTTGTCATGTCGGACGAAACCTTACCAAGCTGCAGAACCGAACCTTGATTCAAACTTATTTTACTTCGAACATCCCCCACCCTCTCTGGGTAACGATACTCTGGGGTTGGGCACTCCAAGCACCTTGGGGTTGGGCGAGGAGTAGACCGGGCGAGGAGAAGTAGACCGGGCGAGGAGAAGAGTTAAGCCATCTGGAGGGCCCCGGGCGCAGCTGCATCTTGATCGGCTAGTTCTGGAGAAGGATTTCCAGTCGTTTTGGCTCTTTTTCGGTGGAGGCATCACTGGAATTACGCTCCTCGATGCGGTTTTATGCTTGGGCCAAGCATACTTGTACTAGGTGCCTGACATCGGGTCTGTGGTTTCGATCGCACTTGTCCACGCTTCCAGGGTCAATAGAAACTGATTCTTCGCAAGGTGTTGGGCCGTCGCACGCCTTATTCCCAATATTTTCCAAATCTCAAGCCTATGCCCTGATGTGTTTAGTGGCAGGTCCCTTGCTAGGGCAGCCTCTACGACAGTCGGCAGCCTTGAAGTGAAGGTTGCAAAGCGGGGCTTTAACCGTGATTGCGCCCTTCAGAACTTTCAATGGTGGTTTCGGTGAAGGGGGTTTAGGTTTTTTGGGTGATGGGGGGGGGGGGTCGATGTTAAAGTGTCCTGCTGTTATGGTGATGGATTGCGAGGAACGGTTTGTGAGCCAAAGCTAGATGTCGTGAAGCAAAATTGCTTGGGGGTTTGTAGGTCAGACGGCTGTATAAAGGCGTGTCCGAGTGATGTCCGGGTGATGTAGGAGGGCGCATTGCCACCAAGACATTTATCACCAGCTAACCAGCCACGACATGATGGCGATCAGGGCTGGGCTCAAGGTAAGCGAGGGTAATATACGGGTCGGAATAAGTACTACCAGTATTCCCTTCGGGTCCCTTTATTATCATACTATAAGAACTCCCCAAAATCCTAAGTCTGGGTAGGTGCGCGCTCAGGTCGGTATGTAGGTGAGAGTGGGGTGCTTTTGGGCAGGTTTGTAAGGCAAGCTGGGCGCGGTCGGACAGTGCAGCGTAGAAAGAGTATGCATTGGTTGAGTGGTTAGTGAGGGGTAGGGTAGCTCGGGTGTAGCTGGTGCAAGGCTGGCGAGTGCAGACCGATGGTCGGTTTGATGGCAGGTTCGGGTATAGGTTGAGGTTTGCTGGGTTGGGCGTTGGCTCATGTAGGTGACGGTAGGTTGGGCAGGTCATGGTAGGTTCGGTTTTTGAGGGTTAATTGAGACGTTATCGCACTCCAATCGCGCTCGCGACCTGCTAGTTTCTGATGATCGGCTTGAGAACTTCTGGCAAAAAGCCACTTTACGCCGCACGTAAAGGCGAACGTCCATGGACAGCGGCCTTTTGGTCCCGCGTTTTGGGCCTGAAAAAATGCACCCCGAGCCCATAGCCATGTCGGGAATGTCTCAGGGGCCAGGAGAGCTTGGGAAGGTTTTGGCGAGGCCTGCGAATCTCCTCCGCCACCAAGATAGCGGAGGTGTCGTGCTAAACAAAACGTTTGGAACCTAAATTTGGGGAGGGGGGTTCGGGACTCGTGTGCGGCTTTGAACCCAGAGAGCCGAGGCCGAGGTCGCTGAGAAGTCCGAGGTGAGGGAAGGCCCGGGTTCATACTATTAATCCTACTGATATTTTAATACTGTTACCATTATTATTATTACCATTATTACTCCTATTACTATTATTATTACAATTACTTCTATTAATATTATTAATCCGATTAATACTACTAATACTCTTAATACTATTCATACTATTAATATTATTAATGCTATTAATATTATTAATACTATTAATATTATTAATACTATTAATATTATTAGTACCATTAGTACCATTAATACTATTAATACTATTAAACTACTATTATTATACTATTAATACTATTAGACCATTAAGTAATTAATACTATTAATACTATTAATATTATTAATACATTAATACTATTAATATTAAATACTATAAACTATTAACTATTAATACCTATTAATACTTAATACTATTAATAGTATTAATATATATACTATAATATATTAATACTATTAATGAATACTATTTAATACTATTAATACTACTAATTACTATTAATTACTATTAGACTATGAATACGCTTAATACTATTAGTACTATTAGTACTATAAATACTATTAATACTATTAATACTATTAATACTATTAATACTATTAATACTATTAGTACTATTCATACTATTCATACTATTAATACTATTAATACTATTAATACTATTAATACTATTAATACTATTAATACTATTATTACTATTCATACTATTAATACTATTAATACTATTAATCCTATTCATATTATTAATACTATTCATACTATTCATATTCTTAATACTATAAATACTATGAGTACTATGATTATTATTAATACTATTTATGTGTTTACTGAGCGTCTGTGGATTCATGGGCTTCTACATGTTTTTGCTTGCCAAGGCTTCTGGGAACCCCTTGCTCGCTGTTTTCTGTCTTGGGAAAGGAAGGAGACCTTCAGGGGTTGTGATAGAGCTTTCCATGTGATTGGGTTTAGTGCTGTCATTCTTGGTCGTTCGAGCGTTAAACGGGCCAGGAGCCTATGGGCTACGTCGAGGGCCTTCAGGGTCCTGCCTAGGAGACCGAGATCGGTATACGGTATACAGTTATGCTCAAACTTGCAGCCCTCAAGCCCTGCTGTTCAGTACTTTACTTCTGTTGAACGTTTTTGCTACTGCAGTCCACCTCAGCGAGTGCACGTGCAAGGAAGGAAAACTCTCCCCAAATAAGGGGAATCCAGGCCACCACCTGCGGCACGATCGCTTCTACCGGGCGGTGGGACTGGTCTGTTTTCAGGGGTTGAGGCCACATCTTGTCCCCCCCCTATTGGGCCTGAAAACCACGCGTTACAGGAGTTTCGATGGCATTGAAAACATTGTGGGTTTGGGCATTCTGGGATGCAGGCTCAAGGGTTGGGAGTGTTCCGGTGGGTGCCTCGGCGCTTTGGCCTGGGTGTACTGTATTGCTGAAAAAGGGTCCTGCACAGCTGTAGTGTTTCAGGGACCTCATTATCGTAATCGAGGAGCCAAAAGGTTGAAGCTGCAGAGGGTCCGGGAGCAGCTTGGCATCAGCATGTGCGAATTTGGAGTACACGTGAATGCGCATGTGGTCGGTTCTTGGGGAGTTGGCTTCATCGTCCTTAGGCCTTCTCGCGAGTTCAAAGTTGAGGGAGGGGGGGGGGGGGGGGGCACAACTCTCGAAAGCCACGCGCTGTTGATCGGCAGCCATCATCAGAACCAGGACTAGGGGCATCTTGAGTCATCCTTGACAAAGTCTTCGCACTCCCCAAGTCGAAAAAACAAGGGAGGACTCGTAGATGGTTTTTGGGCGTTCAGACGGGTCGACAGAGGTTTGTTTCTTGCCGTTTCTAGGGTTCTTCAACCGTTGAATTATAGTCGGCCTCCAGAACGCAGCACTGGCATCTAAACCGCAACTGGCAAGCCGAAAGACTAAAGGCCCTGAACTTACAGCCCCCTTCGGAATTATTTTTCATGTTTATGTACATACAAACCAGGGGATTGGTTTAAAGGGCCCTAAACCCAAAACTCTAGGTCTCGCCCTAGACAGATCCCGAAGTGCCAGGTATGCCCCTTCACGGTGTCGTGGCCTCGGCCCGATGAGAACACGATTTCCCAAAGAGAGCCCCCCTTCCAGTATAAAAGGGGCTTAGGCTGTAGGATTATAGGCTTCGTGGCCTTGGGGGTTTAGGGTTTGGGGTTTGGGGTTTGGGGTTTAGGGTTTAGGGTTTAGGGTTTAGGGTTTGCTTGTTTCGGGTTCGGGCAGTTTTGTCTGAACCACATGAGATGGTCGTTGCAACCAAGTTTCGTGCGCTGAGCAATGCCATGGTGTAAGTAGGCAGGAAGCAGGGGCTGAAATTGATGCGGCGAGTGGACAAACGCCTAAACTGAATACTGGATGGCAAGAAGCTGAAACTTACCCCCAGGCCAAACCGACCCACATGCTTTGGTAGCTGCCGGGCTGCGGGCACGTTGCAAAGGCGCCACAAAGAGCTGGCGCGCACGTGATCTTCAAAAAGACCTTAAACCCTGAACCCTAAACCGCTAGACGACAACGAAACAGAGAGCCCAAGCCTGATGCGAAGTTTTCAAGGTTGCCTGACTTTCAACTGCCAACCATCAGGTTTGGGGGCCTCACAGTCACAATTTAGGGGGGAGTGCAGTCCTGATGTCAACATGCTGCTCCTACACCCAGACGGCGAACCTCGTCGAACAACTTGCCCGTCTACGTCGTGCTTCGGCTGCTTGAGGGATTAGGATGTTTCTTTGTGTGATTTTGCGGGTTGACCGTTGCTAGGAATTTGCCAGGTTTCAATCGCTGAGCTTGCAAAAAATGCAACAGTAGTAGTTTCCCAGCCAGAGAACCCCGAATGTCTCGAACCTCCTCCCCCCCCCCTCCCCCAAAAAGAACAAAAAACAACAACAAAACGTGGTTCTCTGTGTGTGTGTGTGTATAAATTTCAGTGCTTCCTGGCTCCTCTGCCTTTCTTGAGCTCAGCGGCCTACTCCCCCGGTTACACTCGCTTGAGTTATCTGCTTGCAACATCTGTGACAGACTCCTGAACCGCCCACCTTAGGTCAAGCGAAAGAATCGTCACGAGGACGTCACGGCGGGGACATCCCGAACCCAAAATCTTATGCCCCAAGACCCTAAGCCCCACCTCAAACTGATTTCAGGATGTTTCAGGGCTAGGGCCGAGGGACCGAGATACAACTTTGCACGATTGGCCTTAACCTTCAATCCTGGACCGGTTGGTAGGAGTTCCGGATGCACCTGATTGTGGAGCCCCCTTAAACCCCTCTTCGACCTCTCAAGTGGAGTTGAAGTGCCCTTGGTCACCAAGGTCTCAATACAACAGACCTGCCCCAAGCCTTACATCCCAAAGAAAAGCTCAGATCACAACACCACAACAGCCCAAGGCTTCCACAACGAACCTTCAATCCTAGAGATGATGCCTTGAAAGATGCTGCCTTGCATGCCTTGACAGCTCAGACCCTCTGCCCACTGCTGGCTGTGTGTGTGTTTTTTGGCTTCGACGGGGTTAAATGAGCTTAGTGGTCGTCGAGCTGGCCATGAGCGAGCAATTCGCCTTCGATGCCCCTGTCAGACCGTGAGCGGTCTAGTGTATGAGGGGCTTCGAGTTCACGCACGCGGCCAGAGTGCGCCGGTGTTTTGGGGCTTTGGTGAGGGGCTCGGCCAGGTACGGAATCGGTTTGCAGAAGGGCTAGATGTGCTCTCCACTCCAGAATGCCGGAACATAAACTTTTGGCCGTGGAGGTCGCCGGCAGTCATATCCCCAAACCCTAAACCCTAAACCCTAAACGCGCATCGGATCCGGAACCCTGCGCCAGATCATTCGCAAAGTCCGTGGCGATCCGGAGGCGCTCAAGCGAGAGATCGAGCCACTCTCTGAGCCCTATACCCTCCATGCCCTATGTTCAAGGGACTAAAGGAGGGACTCTTATAGGGTATATACAGGGGTTATATTGGGGGAATAAGATTAATGGTCCCTTCTTGGGGTCCTCCTTATACCCCTCCTTCCGTTTAGTTGTTCACTCAAATATTGAGACAGCACCTGAACACCCTGAGCTCGGTTCTCTCCCCCGTTTTCGCCAAGGTTCCTGTGTCAGACAAAAGTCAGCTATGGAAAAAGTGGATTCCTCCAGCTCGTGTGGGACTCAGCTTCTGGACCGGACACGGCCTTTGGGGGGGGGGGGGCGTTCTTGGGTCAATGGGGCAATATCTGCGTGGCTGGGCAAAGCTCGTCTCCATGCCCTGAAACTCTAGACTGGAACCCTGAACAGATATTTGTGGGCTTTCGGGGCTGGGGAAAGCCGAGGTCGGCAACCACCGGCGAGCCATCAAAGAGTACCTGAAGAGCATCGGGTACTGAATGAGGAGGACGACGAGGAGGAGGAGGCCGCTTCGGAGTGAGCCATTCATGGAATGTAAGGCTTGCACTTGGTCTTTCTTCTCGAATGTGCATAGAACATAATACCCTTTTCCTGCCCATGTTGCCCCCATGACAAGGCCGCCGGTCCAAGCTTGCACATATTCTCCTCCTTAAAAACCACAGTCCCAATGTTCGTTGCAACCCCAGCACGTGACGCATCAGGACTCTGGAGGGTTTGCTTCGGGAGTGATCAATGTGGGGCTTGAGCATAGCAGCAGCAGACTTCCAGGCTCGGATACCATGGCTCAGAAGCTGCTTCTTAGATGGGGTCGAAACGTTCATATTTACTGTTCAACAGCCACGGGTCAGATTAGGAACGTGCCTCATGCACGCCATCATTGTCTCTTTCTATTGCACACACTACCCAATTCTGATTCGGAGATCCATGTGGAACCAAAAATTCACACACATCGAGTGATGCGAGGCAACCGGTACTTGATTTCATCACGCAATTAGGGAAAGTGGCACTTCCTCCACTTGCCCCTTGCAGCCCCCGCCCCATCCCCTGATAACGCAACTCTCCCTCACACTGAAAGCGTCGCGATACCGACTTGGGGAAAGAGATGGGGGCAAGTGCCCCACTTCTCCCATTGATGGAAGTCCCCCTCACAGGAAAGCATCCTATTCCAGGTCCTGGGAGCGTTAGGTGGGGCAAGCCGGGGTCCCTCCACACCCAACTGTCCCATTTTGCATCCTCGACCTTGGAGCCTTTTGCAAGCCAAGCCCGCCATACCTCCCATCAATTCTTCCATTTCATTGCCCTCCCATCCCTAAGCCCTTCAAACAACAATGTAAACCTAACAGCCGACAGGACCACACCTCCCAACCTGAAAAAAAACTCAGGACACTGGGCCCAAGTTACATCCTGAGTACTGTTGGCCCCTTTGTGAATCGGTTGTACTGGTATAGCGAGCTCCTTCAAACTGGACGGAAACCCAACGGGACCGAAGAATTTCAGCAGCTTCTCATCGTAGGTGTGCGTGGAGGTGGATGATCCTGACGAGGCTTTGCTCTTGCCAGGGGTGGTTTCTGCAAAAGTGGGTTCCCAGCTCCTCTCTCGTTGATCATGCCGCCAAAAAGCACCCAAACGTCCTACACCCTAAGCCGGTCAACCCATCAACTGTCAGCCCACTTTGCTGGGACTTTCTTCTTCTAGGCTGACCTCCGGCAATTTGCTTCGGCTGTAGTCTCTTCGGGTCTCTTCGAAGACGTCTGACTCCAGTGTGCCAGTGTGGTAGAGTAAGTTCGAGCATCCGGAAGTGGTTGTCAGGGGGCGAACCTTTCAGCATGAACCGAGTTGTGGAGACGTGTGGCTTGCGACTCTTGGAACAAACCCCTAACTCCTAAATGCCCTACAAACTCCAAAGAAAGTTCTTCGGAAGCGAAATGCTAGGAATCCGATCCATGGTAGCTGCTGAAGCTGTTGCGCCCTCAGGCCACACCCTAAGCCCTTCTGACCAGGATGTCTCGGCCTTCGATCTTCTTCTTCCCAGCCGACCCTCCGAGGAGGTGAACGAGGAAGCTGAAGGTGCCTGGGAATCCCAGGAGGTGGTGGACGAGGAGGGTCCGGAGGATTTCTGGTCGGAGGAGGGCGAGAAGGCTGACGATGCTCAGTTCCAAGAGGACCCCTGGGGCTTCAGGAACAGAAACCATGCTGCGGAGGGTGTTGGGATGTTAACCGTCCTTAGTAGGAATTCTAGTGCCCCCTATTGCAATCCCTACTAAGGACTGTTTGAATAAGGTGGAACATTCACGTTGACACGTCTTTCGATCACAAAGTACTTCCGACAACTGGGTACGTTTACAAAGGAGGGAGCTGCCTCTTTGTCGCCACACTGAACCTCACATCAAACGAGCAGGCTAATCCGGATAAATACCTCGATGCGACATGCAGGTCGTCAATCATTCGCCGCATGATTTCCGCAGTTGAAGGCCTGCGGCACAACCACCATCACGATGTCGAGCTACATCACAGGCTTCCTTCAGTTGCCCTGAATGAGGGCACAACAGCTGAAGGGTATGCACTCCTAGATTCCTAGATGTCACAGAATGCAACCACCCCACTCCCCCTCCCAATTACCTCCCAAACCCCTGCGGCAATCCACAGCTTTGGAGCATATTCATGCCCTACGGCAGATCCAGTTCCAACACCAGGAGCGGCTTCATCAGATCTTCGGTGAACAGTGCAAGCTGTTCAAATCAGACGCGAGCAGTTGCTTGAATCAACTGACCAGCAAGTTTGGAGAAACATTGCCAGCGTCGATCCACAGAACGGACCTCGGATTGCGAATGCCGCGAAGGAACGCAAGGATGACAAGATCGTGGGTCTTCCAGCTGTGCTCACGTCCAAGCGCAAACTTTAGGGCGACTTTCATGCTTGATGTGCAATGGCTGGCAAGCACATGCGCTGACATCAGCAGTCGAGATGCTTTCAATGGCTTTTCCTTGCAGGAAGCGCCAGCAAAGAAGTCGCCCTACGCACCTCCGCCAAGGAGAGAGGTTTAGAGATGTAGCACTGTGGTGCCCACGGAGGATCTTTGTTTGAGGTTCATTGAGTTGGGGGAATCATGTTCTGGTGTAGCATCAAACGCCTCAGGGTAAATTATCGCACGTTGGTAATTGTGCATACTACGCCCCAACTAGAATACCTCGCCCTCCCTCCGCCCCTCCTCCCGAAACCGCCAGAAGCAGTCATGGTCCCAAACAGGCGTAAAGCAGAAGTCGCCCCGCCGAAGCGCGCAGAGGCCCCAGACGAACAAAAGCTCCCAGCCGATGCGTCCCCTACCTCCTCATCCCTACTTAAGCGGCAGGGCACAATCTACAAATCACGAGCACAAAAAGCACGCCAGATCGAGCACACTTTCAGGCCACAATCTACAAATCACGAGCACATAAAAGAGCGCCAGACTGGCGCCCAAAAGCGCGAGAGGATACAGCGGCCAACCCTCTCCCCTTTCAGCATCTCTTCGCCTCCCCCCCCTCCCCCTGCCCGGCCCCCAAAAGAGAAGAATTGACAGCCTGAGCGTAGCGCTTCCTTCTACCCATAGGAGCAGGCCAGAGTTTAGTGATGTGGTTAGGGTTTCGAGGTCGAGGTTTCGAGCGAGGGCTATTTCACGGTGATCATGGTATGACTTCGCCAGGGCGTAATTTCTCGTACTTTTTTGAGCTTACGATTGTGCCCCGCCCCCCTCCCCATACCAGTACACTGGCCAGGGACCTGGAACCGAGGAATGTAACCTCACCATCCAAACCTTCAGGTCCCAATTTAAGGCCAAGGCCCAAGGCCTTCCGAGGCTCCCATCAGTGCCCTAAAAGGTCCCAAATCCCAAAGGCCAGAAGCGAACCTGAAACGGCCCTCAACTTTCAGCTCCCTAAGCCCTGGCCCTAAACCCCAAAAGCCTAAACCCTAAACCAAGCTCTCAGAATTTGATGCCTGCAGGCGCCCATGTCGGCAATGTCGGCAGGCGCTGAGGCTGCCACCCGCCTCCTTCGGCGGAGGTTCTCAGGGGGGGGGGGGGGGGGGGGGGGGGGGGGTTAAGGGTTAAGGGTTTTATATAGGAGCCTGAATAATTAGAATAGGTTTTGGGCGTTATTATAGTGCATTTATAAAGCGACCATAAGGGAATATTATTAGTAATGATTCCGACCCGAAGGTTTATGGCGTTTGTGGTCTACAGCAGGCTTCTTAGGGCTTCTGGATTGATATGATTAGGAGGCTTCTTCAATTCTGAAGAAGAGTTAAGGGTTCAACTGTTCCCGGTGGGTCAAAAGAGAGTCCAGAAGGGTCGGAGAGTTGCTGCTTTCTTTGAGGCTTGCAATGTCAGCTTGTTTCGAGTTTGATCTTCTAGGGTTGCATCACCCTCCAAAAAAAGGCAGCGCCTGGACAACGAGCTCTCCTTGCGTAGATGCAGTCAAAACTTTGTGGGCACACCTGACTTGTCAACCCTGCCGGCCGAAGAAACTGTACAGTAAACCCCAGCAAGTTGGAACATCCTGCTCCCCATACCCCAAAAGGTATACCAAAGGGAACCGCAGCTCTCATCATCCTTAAACCATGTTCCAACTTTCTGGAGTTTACTGTAATCCTTTTTCAAGGAGCACTCAGGATTATGTAGGCACTTGTCAAGATACGGCGGGATTTTGTTAACGTCCTCAAACCCGGCATGTTCAAGATCGAGTTTAGATAGCTCACGGTTCGAGGAGTTCGGGGACTTGTTTTTGTGGCGATGGGTAACGTTCAGCAAATTTTCTCAGGGTACTAGAGAAGCCTGCGGTGGACCTGGCTTCTACAAAGGCATGGGGGCTGTGTGTTCAAAGCTTCTCTCTTGAGGCGAGCTGACGCAGAAGCCAAGAAGAAGGGTCCGGGACTTATGCTTCGGGAATCATTAATTATGATCTTGGGCATGAGGATAAGCGCTGCACTTTTTCAGACACACACTCTCCCGTTTGGCTGGGGACACGCCCACACCTTGATGACTAGGGAGTATGTCTAGCACCATCCAGCCGCCCCCGCGACTCAATGGGAACTCGAGGGCGCTGTGAGATCATTCTGATTCTCGGCTGACAATGCCAATGTATTAGCACCCCAGCTCTCTGCTATACTGTACAGCCTAATCTGTACACTGCGATTCTGAAAACAACCTACTACTCAATTCGTATCTGCATCATCTGCACAAGGCCATCCGAGCAGTATCTCTATCAACTCATCTGCAGGGGCGGCACGATGCGGTTTTACTACCCTTGCCCTTTCTGCTTCCACTTCAACTGCGAAAGACCTTCAAGACCTAAACCCCCACCTTAAATCCAGGGGCCCGTGGGCCCAGGATTGCAGAAATCAAGACTAAGCACTGTAGCAACTTCGGCATGCGCGGCAGAAACCGTCGACCGCAATGGTAACTCGTACATGGCTCAACCTGGCACAAAACGATGAGACATTTGGGCCACGCAAGCCCCAGGTGCTATCAGGCCTGCAGAGCCACCACCCCTGCCATCCGCCTCATCCACTACAGGCCATGCAATCGGCCCAGGAATGAGGGTGAGAAGTAGCGTCGTTTGCAGTTTGGATATGGGGTTGGTTTTGGAGTCAATGGCGAACCCCGCCCTCACAAGAGGCTCAAGCTGCAAGCAGCCCTCACCCAAACCGACCCTAAGAATCCGTAAAGCTGAACTCCAGCCCGAGGCGAGCGGCATGGGAAACTCCTCCAACCAGGCTCCAAGGCCGCAGCGCGCCCGTCCATTCCCGCGGCCACAGGACGATTGCCTGGGTATTGTTCATTGGAGTTCAAGGTTCTGCATTGAGAAGCCGTGGTACCAAGAAAGACAACACTTAGGACTTCATGCAGGAACCTTGGCACGAAGGCTGAAAGGCTCTCGTCTCTTTCAGCGAAGTTGGCATGCGGCTGGCCACACGAAACCCTGAGGCGTGAAGCCGCGCGGCCACACCAGCATTCCACCCTGGCGAAAACACACCAAGACACAGGTGACACCAGGCAGGGTCTTGGTGTGATCTGCTCGGGCCATTGAAGGATTTTAGAGCTTTGTGGCTTTAGGGTGTTTGTGATTTTGTTGACTTGCGGGCTCGCTATGTATTTTGATGTTCAATGGCTAGTTTTCAGGAATGGAGATTGGAGTGTTCAATATTCGGCCTTGGTTATGGAGTTATGGAGCTCTATCTCGGAAACTGAGCCAAGGCTGAACCTAAATCAGGGAGCGGTTGCAACCTGCTTGAAGATACTCGCATCAGGTGGGAGATAACTCACAGAGCTGCAAGGTCGTCATGAACTGGTTAGAAGACTTATGTACCAGGTTTACCACTGGCGGGCTGCTCTAGGCAGGGGCCCCATTCCCCTCAAAAACTCGACCCTTTTCTTGGAACATCGGTCTGAAAGAAGCCCTGGACCTGTGGCCCAAACCCCCCAAAGAATGTCAAGATAGACTTGTTGTTGGGATGTTCCCGCTTCTGGTAACAGTCCTTAATGGGGATTATAGTACCCCCGATTATAGTCCCTATTCAGGACTCTTTGTATAAGGAGGAACATCCCAAACTTGTTGAATGAAAGGGGTGCCGGCGGCAGCGCACGGCCCGACGGTCATCCCACCGCGAGGCCTGCTGGTTTGCAGCACCAGGTGCTCTGGGAGGTTCAAGATGGGGGCTTAAAGCTCAAATATAGGGGTCGGAAGAATTACTAATAGTATTCCCTTATGGCAATTACACAATAGCAAGCCCCCAAAACCCTCAAAACCCTATTTGAATCATGAAGGCCCCTATATTCGGCGGCATAGGGGTCAGAGCTTGGCGGGCGTTGATGACTATGGGGCTGGAGGGGTTTGTAAATCAAGTGCAGGGTCTCGGGATTGACCGGCCAAACTCTGCACACCCTCACTAAGCAAGAAGACGGATCTGACGGGTTTAGGGTTTAGGGTTTAGGGTTTAGGGTTTAGGCTTTAGGCTTTAGGCTTTAGGCTTTAGGCTTTAGGGTTTAGGGTTTAGGGTTTAGGGTTTCAGCAATTCGTGAAGTCGAGCGGAGGTGTCAGCGTCCAGCGGTGTCGAGGGGGCGGGCGGTTAGCAACCGCCGGGATGGCGAAACCTGCTGATGCTTCATGCCTCGGGTCTCAAACATCTCAAACCTGCACTTAATAATCTGTTTTCATGAGCCCTTCATCATGAGCTTTCTTTTAACGCGCACTCGGTTGTGGCCTTACCTTTCCCCGACGGCCAGTCAAGTAAAGTGGGGTTCCATACAGTTCTCCATTGAGTGAATTGATATTCTTTGCGAGACCTGGATCCCATCAAGGTGGTCTAAAGGCCGAAGCTTATATAGCCAAGCCCTGCTTGTAAATAGCAATAATAATCGTAATAATAAGAATAACACAAATAAAAGAATAATAGTAGTAATAACAATATTAAAAATAGTAGTAATAGCAATAGTCATAGTAGTTCAAGCTCCAATGGCAGCAGGCCACCTGGCAGCTGCACCTTCCTCGGCGCAGTCTCTGGCGGCCAGTCCGCCAATGCAGGCTTTGCGTGAGCGAGGACGAGACGCCCCCCAAGTCTTTCATCCTAGCGCCGCCAAATGCTCTAAAGCTGGCAGACCGGAAGCCTGAAGCTCAAAAATCAAAGCCCTAAAACCCAAACCCTAAAGCCCAAACCCCAAACCCTAAACCCTAAACGATCCGTGTGGGTTCATGGCTCGGGGCTTTATGGCTCAAACCGCATAGGGACCACCGCCCTCACCCTAAACCCAAAACCCTTGACCCTAGTTTCGAGCTGTTTTGGGGCCTTCTGGGGTTGAAGGGGGGGGATTTCAGGGTGCAAGCTGTAGAAGGGGATTCAAGGTTTAGGGTTTAGGGTCCGGGGCTTTGCAGGAGCAGAGCTTTGCGGGTTTCGGAAATTCTTGATTCTGGGTCGTCCTAGGTCCTAGAAATGTTCCGGGTTTTTTGGGGGTCTGGGTGACCTGGGGGGGGGCCGGCAAAGGATTTCGGAGCTTGCGGAGTTTAGGGTCTCGGCTCACCTGCCCTGGTCAACCCAGGTTTGTTGAAGTTTTTGGGGCTCTTAGACACCCCGGAGTCCAGGGTCCGATACAGAGCCTAAGCTGGCAGGGATGTTCATGGGGGCACCTGGGAATGCTAGGGAAGCATAGGGAGCCTTAGGGAGTAGTGGGTACCTTGAGTTACGTACCCCACTTGAACCCCCCTGAGCCCTACACCCGAAACCCTAAACCCTAAAGCTTGAATCCCCCCTCCCTTAAGGACCCTATAATTTCTCTCTTATCCAAGGAAGGCCAAAGCGCGCGTAAGCGGAAGGCGCTCAGACGGCCGTCCGGTTGTCCGTGTAAGACTTGGACTTTTGGACTTTGGGATGTTTGGGGCTCAGGGTTTCGGATTTCGGGTTAGGGCTTAGGGACCCAAACTTGCAGGCTTTGAGGGTTCGAGGCTCAGGAATCGTGAAGGAAGAGCTGTCTACGTAGTGGGACGGACGTTCAGATCTGTGGGATGCGGTTAAGCTCATTCAATTTTTCCCTCAGCCCTAAGCCCTACCGAGAAAAGACCCTCCTAAGGTGCGTGTCACGAAACACATAAAAATCTGCGAGCCTCGCACGAAACCTCTAGACCCCAACCCCTGAACCTCTAAAGACAACAACGCCAAGCCCAAAAATCAAATTCTGAAGGCGCCGGACCCGCTCGCATCGGCGGCGAAGCGGCTGCGGGACAAGCTGAAACTCGGCGGCTCTGGAGCTTTCGGGTTCATAGTTTCCCCTTGAAGCCTAAATTCTCAAGGTTTGGGTGCTCTTGATCGTCGCGTTAGGAGCACTATAGTGCTCCTGGGTTGTAGTGCTGCAGGTTTGGTGAGGGCTTATTCTTCTGGATGCTGCGATATTGGCATTTCCCAAGATAGGGGTCCCCATTTTATACCCCAAATAGAATGTAGAATAGCGACCTCCAAAAAAACACCCCGGTTGGAAACCCTCATAGAGTTCATTGCAGTTTCGGATCGAGGTCCCTTTGAGCTTGGAGCCCGGTAAAGAGAAACTTGAAACCTTAAATCGGAGCCAGGCAGAGCGACTACTGGAACCGGGTCTGCCAAGTGCAGGTCTCTCGTCAAAATGCACGTTGCGCCTGTCCATGTCGTGTTTTCACGAATAGGGGAGAAGGGAGATGCGCCGTTTGTGCCTCAGGCAGTGTGTACATGACTGCATGAATGGCTCGTGGCATCAGAAATGCTTAGAGTTGACTCTAGCCGGATCCTGCTTCTCATGATCTGTGCCGGAATGTGGTTTGAAAAACAACATCCATATTGGTATAATTCTAGTGCTTGACGGGCAGTTGTGCGGGAATACGGCTTCCATTGGGACCTGCTCGTTCTGTCGTTTTGGTTGGGGTTGCGGTGTTGGGGTTGCCGGGCTTGTCGTGATGCAAAAGTTGCTGTTCATGCGCACAGTTTGCCGGGCTTGCAGCCTCACATCGAGTCGGATACCGCGCTGGGTTTGCTCGAAAAACTCTCCAACGCAGACTTCCAGGCGGGGCCCACTTGGCTGGCCCTGGCTCGTGAATCCCAGCAAGTATAGCACCCACATCGAGTTGCACAAGGCAAAAAAGCTGACTGGCATCGCTGAGTTTTTCATTCGAGTTCGGCCCCGCTCATGTGTGGGCCCCACTGTTGGGGGAACGGGCCCCATTCACCACGAATGACCATGCTATATTACCATGTGCGCGCCCCGGTGGGGATCCCCTCCCGTGCGCCATGAACGGCAGAGTCAGAGTGGACCGTGCCACCCAGTAATCCCACTTTGAACACCCTATAGGCCACAGCTTATCGAAAAGGGAAAAAGCTGCAACAGCATCATGGAGGAAAACACTCAAACCTCGTCGTAAAGCGGCCATCATCCTTAAGCTGATTCGTCAAGTTCACAAGCTCAAGGTTTTGGATTATGAGTTTAAGAATGTTGAAGGACAGGGCCAGGAACCTCGAAGTGTAGTGTTTGCCGCCTACAAACCCTAAGCCTGTCCAGAAAGTCGCGATGAGCCGTCACCGGTTCGTCATCCTTTTTGTGATGGAGCCCCTTCGGACCTGGCCTGTGTCAGCCATGTTTGTTGCTGGCCCTGGTTGGTCGCGGGGCCGCCCAGGCCATCTCATGAGAGAGCCGTTGAAGCTCAGGCTCGTGGCACGAGGGCAGTATTCGGGCTGAGGGCTGACGATAGCTGATATGCTACTCGTTTACGACGCCCATCTGTCGGGCATGAGCCATCGAAACTTAACCAGAAGCCCTGAACGCTCTGAACGTCAAGCCACAGCTAGACTCTAGACAACGTTAAGCTACAGCAAGACGGCCTGGCAGGGGTATGGGGGGACGGAAGTTCAAACGAGGTCCGCAATGGCAAAGTGACGATCACTGCCCAGCTGACCAACACTGCGCTTTCAGACGATGATGTGGGAGCGTGGTTGACATGGTTGAGAGGAGCCTTGGCCTGGGTAACCTGTTTTGAGTGGGGGTGGTGGGGGGGTGACGGGGACCCAGATTTGTCAGTCAAGACCCAAGGCCATCTCATCCGAAAGCAGAATTTCGAACTGACCTTCCCAACTCTGGATCTGTCGAGCAATAACCTAAGCAAGGACAGCATTAAGCGCATTTGCTCGTTCTTGGAAGAGCACGCAGTGCGCGTGGAAGAGATGAAGTTTGATCATAACGACATCGACGATGATGGCTTGTACCGGATTGCCCAGTACATCACTTCTGCCATGGCTCCAATATCCTCATTGCACCTCTCCTCTAATCGGATCAGCATGCAGGGCGTCTTCCGACTGCTGACTATGCTGTCGCTTCATCCAATGTATCCTGTGGAGACCAGCCGGCAGGGAAAAGCAGCGTTCGTACCCCTGTGGCTACAGCTTGGCAACAGCTTGATCCAAGATGATGATCTGCAAGCGTTTTTGGACAGCCAGCTATGCGAGCTGGGATGTGCTGTATGCCTGGTAAACGAGCGCTGTTCACCAAAGTTCTGTCAACACGTCCATGAGATGAAGTTGAACACAAAACACAACGATGCTTGGCAGAATCCCAACTTAGATCTGTCCTTATGTGCCCAAACTTCTGTAATTACAGCCCCAGACTCAAGCTTGTCAACTGCTAGTTGTAATAATAATAACAAGAAGAATAAAAATAAGGATGGTAGTAAGGTAGTAATTAATCCTTTTGATACTAATAGTTACAATAATACCAAAAACAATAACCCAGGTAGTGCTGCACCTCTGCCTGCGCGCGCGTGGCGGCAAGCCTCCAGACCCGCTCATTCTCCAGGCTGCCGGCCCGTGGGTGTGGGACATGTAGGATGCGGTGAGTAGAGCTAGGGCCTAGGGTTCAGGGGTTCAGGGGTTTAGGGGTTTAGGCGTTTAGGCGCTTAGGGGTTTAGGGGTTTGGGGGTTTAGGGGTTTAGGGGTTTAGGGGTTTAGGGGTTTAGGGGTTTAGGGGTTTAGGGGTTTAGGGTTTTAGGGTTTTAGGGTTTTAGGGTTTTAGGGTTTCAGGGTTTTCGGGTTTTAGGGTTTTAGGGTTTTAGGGTTTTAGGGTTTTAGGGTTTTAGGGTTTTAGGGTTTAGGGTTTGTGTTAACCCATGTTAGCCATCCACTGTGTCTACCTTCCCGAGGCTGGTATGGCCCCTGCGGGTCCAAGCATATCGAAGATCTTCGAGCAGCGCGGCAACATAGAGAGGTGTTCGCGAGAGCTGAGGGCGCCCTTAAAGGAGGGTTGAACCAAAGGCGCTTAGAGGCCTGCGGGCAGTTGTTCTGCGCAGGCTCGTAGGTTTAAGGTTGTGAAGGGCTGGTGCTAAGGCTCACGGCGTAGTTTTCAGGTTGTTAGTTGAGGGTTTGGGATATGCGCATCCACCTGATTTCAGTTCAACCTTCCCTAGGCACTCCCAACTTTTGGACGACCCTACACCCGAGAAGTCCCTGAACCCCAACCCGAAACTTTCAACTAGAACATCATGACACTGTGGAGTAAGGTTGAAGACTTACTGTATGGTCGCCGAAGAACTTCTTTCAACCTGGCCCGAGAATGAGCCTTCGAGATATTTCCAGGCCTCTAAACGCCCGGAAGACCGAAGGAAACGATTCAGAGCTCCATGCGCCTATAACACCCATTTAATTATAATGCAATCGCCAGCACTCGTCCCAGCCTGGGCCGGCACCGCCAGATGCCACGTCGAACATAAAAGGCTTTGAATGGTTTTGAATGGTGGCGTCGACTGGAAGCAGTCGGACATACCGAACAGATCATTCCAGATCTTACAGGCCCCTGCCTGGAGAAGATAAGAAGCACGGATCTTCAATTTCGACTTGCAAAGCCTGCGCTGCTGTCTACCCCTGAAGGATGAACCACTTTCCGCTAAAGGCGTTTAAAGCCTCTCCCAAAGCTTATTGTGGCCCTAAACCCTTAACCCTAAACCCAAAGCCCAAAGCCCTTGCATCCATGAACCCTAAACCCTTGCATCCATGAACCCGCAAACTTTTGAAACCTGAGCCGAGGCCTCCCCGGGCTTTGACATGCCGCAAGGACTGGCTGCTGAATATGCCGAGGCCACATGTGCATTGCACGGATACATGCGGCCCGTACTTCGTTCACATATTAATTTACTTCACGCGTCGTTCACTTATTCACTCCTTGTAAGTCAATTAATATCGTTCTCTACGTTCAACCATATAATCCTTATGAATGAGGTTTCTTTGTTAGGTTCTTTGGGGCTCCGTTAACCCTAAAAACACCACGGACCACAGGGGGGAAGAGAGAAACCCTCAACCTAAACCCCAAACCTGAACCCTAGGCCCTAAAACCTAAACCCGTCTGTGAACCACAGGGGGGAGAAGGGCAAACCCGAAACCTTAACCGCTCTGACCCTGAACCTTAAACCCAGCACGAACCACAGGGGGGAGAGGGGAAACCATAAACCTACCATTACCCCCAACCTTGAACCGTAAACTCTAAACCCACCGTGAACCAATGGACCAAGGGGGTCAGAGTGAAAATCCTGAACTCTACAGCCTAACCCTAAACCCATGAACCACAGACCATGAACCGCGGAGGGGGGGGAACCCAAAACCCACCATGAACCACAGCGGGGGGGGGGGGGGGGGGGGGGGGGGGGAGGACGGGGATTACCATGGGGGGGCAGGTGGGGGGGGCTATGCTGGCTCATCTAAGGTTTGGGGCTTAGGCTTATGGCTCGGAATAGCTGCAAATAGTATCCCCTTATGGTCCCTATAGAACTAATGCCTATTTCAATTCTGGCCCCTCAATTTGAGCCTCTAGGCATGTGGTGTTTAGATGGGTTTAGGCTCTGAGGGATTTAGGGGCTGCTTAATTCGGAGCTTTTGCTCCATCGTTGATACAGCAGTGGATTGGCAGCAAGAACCTTAACACACGCCTTGGTTCTTTCGGACCATTGGCTGTCCACCTTGTAAGGCACTCCAACACTAACAGTCATCAACGGTAGAAGCCTGCAGTCCTACTCATCCATGACCATCCAACCTGCGAAGCCTTTTAAGCCTTGAGAACTTCGGCGGCAGCGGGCCTGAGATGATCTAGCGAAGAACCTGGCCCATTCGATGCGTCTTGAGAACGGGCTCGAGGTTTCGGGCAAGTTTCGAGCCTAAGCTCTGCAGAGGTCCTTCCGAGCTGAACCGAAGTTCCTGTACGAGGACTCGCACCTCGACCAACATGAGATGGGATTCAACATGGTTCAACGCCCGCAACAAACCAGGATGCAGCTACAACCCTAACGTCCCGTTCAATGCGAAGCACGCCCGAAGTGCTACACTCCTCAGGCACTTCATGGTGATGCTGAAGCCAGCCGGCTGGCACTGCTCTAATGAGACTTACGCCATAGGCTCCGCTGGGACTGCATGGGGCACATTTCAGGGAGCGTCTGGGCTCTTAACCCTCAAGGGCCCTAAACCCAGCCTCGAAATCTCAACCCTGATCCAAACCCCTAGTCCCTACACGGTTCGGAATTTATGTTGTCAGGCGTTTTATTCCTCCTGAAGATTGGTAGGGGGTTGGGTCCCTAGATACTGTTGGCATCCGAGCTCCTGAAGCTCTAGTTCCTGGCCAGTCCCCTGCCATGTTACCTCAATCAGCAACTCCTTCACCCCAAACTCAGGACCCCACTTAAACATTTTTCCCGGTTTTCGGCCCACTGCCCATGCAGGCCTTGCAAAGCAAGTCGAGACTATGGTGGGTGCCTCTTGCTTCGCACTTCGCACTGTTGGGAGGTTGGCGTGTGGGTTGAGAAGATCTAGGCTTGCAAGGGCTCACATTCGTTGGAAGACGTCGGCCTGTGGGCTCTTGGGTTCTTCGGCACCGAGAGTGTCCCTAACCCTTGGCCTTTGACCCAGACCCTGCATCTTATGCCCTCACGTTATCGTTGTCGCTTGTGGCTGTTGCGCTTGTCATAACCTGACGCTGACAGCTCGACTTCCCTAGTTCATCACGTACGTCCTTGTGCTACCCATATTAGGCAAACGTTGAACCCTAGACGGAACGATGGACGTCAACACCCCGCGGCCTGAAAAGAGTGCAGGCGAGCAATTCTTAGGCCAAACCTTAACGGAAGCGATTGCTGGAAGACCCGCATCCCTAACAGAAGTGATTGAGGAGGAGGAATTAGCGGGATAAGCAAGCCCAAAGTGGCTAAAGGAGATGTTGGCTGAGCAACCTTTTACCCTAAACCGAGATGGCAAAAACATAAACATACGTCGGCGCTGAACCATACAAATGAAGTAACGAACAGCATCCCCAAGCGCAAAAGGAGCGCAGGGAGTGGTAAAACCTCAACGCAAATCGAATGAGCTTGGTCAAGCATTGGGTCTTGTGATGGGGACAAGTTTGGTTTCGGCTTGGACAGGTGAAATTGACAATAGTGTGCTTTCTGACGAGGCTGGGAAACCTGTGCAAAGGTTTATAATTGCTTGCAAACCCAAGCCCAAATCAGAAAAGGGACAGGATAGTTCATGCTTAGCTTGGATGGGCTTGTCGGAATCACGATGGCCACGAGCAACCGCATTGATAGGTCGCAAGTTGCACGTGCTTGTTGGCAGAAAAGCTGGCGCCTCCGCATCTCGAAGCCGTCGCCTCCTAGAACCACGTCGAACTTGCGCCCTTCTGCAGACGGGTCACCAAGGACAAAAGGAAGGCCATGGCTGCTCAGCTGCTCACCCGAAAGGTGCCCCAGCTTTTGACAAGCGATAGGCCAGACCACGATCATTGTACAAATGCGGACGTGGACATTGAGGTGAAGCCCAAGCCTTAACCTTCACACCCGACGAACCTGGAATCAGGGTTGTGCCGATTATAGTTGCTACGGTGTTTTCGAGGTGGAGGGCGTATTGTGCAGTAGCAGGCTTGCTTGCCATTTGCAAGGTTCAGGTAAGCGGGCCATTCAGCCGTTCAGAACTAGCCTTATTGCCAAACATGTTTTACACATGCAAGGCCTGAGCCCTGAACCACCCCTGGGCCTCGCTTTGGGGCTTTGTTTGGTTTCGTTTTGGGGTGTGGGGTTTGGGGGTTAGGGTGCAGATGATGTTCGGATACCGGGGAAGGGGTGTAAATGTTTAAACATGAAGGGTTGTGCCGTTTGCTCAGGACCCGCCGCCCCTGCATGACTACCTCATCCTGCGATTCGGTGAGGTCGCCAACAGCGGCATGCGCGAGGCCTCCTAATTTTGTTAGGGTTTAGGGTTTTAGGGTTGAAGGGTTTAGGGTCTAAGGTTGGGATATTCCCCCGTTTACTGCCAGTCCTCAGTAGGGATTATAATAGGGGTAGTATAATTCCCATTAAGGACTGTTAGTATAAGGGGGAACATCCCAAGTTTAAGGGTTTCGGGTTTGGGGTTCGGAACTTTCCCCTGAACCTGGAGCCAGTTGCAAATTCCATCGAAATCCGTGGCAAGCTTAAGGCCCTGAGGTTGTTACAAGACCTCGGTCTTGTTTCATCTTGTTGTGAACTGTTTGGCAGGTCATGAATGCCGACAAGCTGTATGGAATGGTCCACAGGCTCTGTCGGAGCGCAGGGCTTGGCGCATGAATCCTTAATCCGTCAGTTTCCCCAGACGACTTAAGCCCAACGTGCAAGCGAAAACCCTTGAAATCCTGAGGCTCTTTCAGCACCCCAGCGCTAGGGCAGAAAGTCAAAGCCATAGCCCGATGTGGATTGTCGCCTGCGAACTTAGGTGTTCGCAGGGCTGTGCAAGGGTTCTTGCACGGATTGGGGTTGGGAAAGTGAGGGAATTGGGTCGGTGAGGGGTGGGGAGGCGGGGGGACTCTTCATGCAAAACCTGGAAGAGAACTAAATGCTTTGGGCCTCTTTGGGCTGGGTCCGATTTGGCTGGCATCTAAGCCGCCCGAATAGTGGGAAAGAACCGTGGCAGGCTCGATCAGGGCACTTCCGGACCACTGCTGGTCGCCAAGAACCTGGAGGGCCACCCAGCAAGAACAGAATACCCTAAACCCTCCGCCTACCCCCACCCCACCCAACCCCCCCCCCCCCGGTATCGAGGGTTCCAAATGATCAGTGCTTATGGTTGCGGTTGGGCACTCTTTTATGTGTTTGCGCATCCAAGAAGCATCCCTGAAGTCTGCTGGACGGCAGGACGGGGGCTTAGATTCGTAAGCCCGGAACCCTGAACCCAAAACCCTAAACCCTAAACCCTAAACCCTAAACCCTAAAGCTAGATCTGCACCATGGACCATGGGAGCCTGAGCCCAAGGCTTCTGGTGGGCGAAAGAAAAGATTGCGCAGCAGGAGTTGCAGCGCGACTACGTCTGTTTGGCGCCTCGTACAAAGGGTTTAGGGTTTAGGGTTCAGGGTTCAGGGCGTAGGGTTTAGGGTTTAGGGTTGAGGGTTGAGGGTTGAGGGTTTAGGGTTTAGGCTTCGAGCCGTCACAACCAGAGACTCCAAAACCCCTGAATTTAAGGGGTATACCTTGTCATATTTGGGTTCCTATTATGATTTAAGGGATGTTCCTTAAATTAAGGGGTTTTGGAGACTCTGGGCAGCCAGGATTTCAGAGCCAGATTGTGAGGGCCGTGGGTTCGGCTGGGGAGGCTTTGAATCCCCCCAAGGGTGCGCCTTGAGATTAATCTAGGGGTCGGAATAATTACTAATGGTATTCCTTTATGGTCCCTTTGGAATTATACTATAACAACCCCCAAAACCCTGTTCTAATTATTCAGGCCCCTATATTCGTTCAGGCAGGTTCATGTTCATGGAGGAGTTGTGGGATGGAAACTCAGTGTTCGTCAGGAGGCTTTGAGGAAGATGGTCTTACTCCATGAATTTCATCGGGATCAAGCACCTAGCATACTAGCAGTATGACCCAGAAGCATCTTGCGACAAGACTGCTTAAAGAAAGCCGTCCTGCTACTTGCACATGAGACTGCAATCTAAAGCACAGCCTTTGGAAGCACAGGCCATGAGATTTTCCGGCCTTTCGGGCCTGAGGGTTTGCAGGTTTGGCTTTGGGACAAAGAAGCCCCAAACCCCACGACTCTTCCCAGACACCCAGGTGCACGGGACTTTTGGGCGCGATGCCTTGCACGGCCATGCCCCCACCGGCATCATCCAGGCAGATGCTGGAGGGTTGTTTCAATTTAGGGTTTAGGGTTTAGGGTTGGCGGTATTTAGGGCTAGCTTATAGGGTCATTGCGTGAAGTGAAGTTTGGGGGTTGGGAGTTTTTTGCTTCTTGGCGGTTTAGGGCATGAGGTCAAGGCGCACAGCTGAATGCTGCGATAGAGCCTGAGCTCTTGAGTGACAGGACACACGAGTGATTCCGTCCCCTTTGCTTATAGGGTTCTTAAGGGAGGGGGGTTCAAGGTGCAACCCAAGGTTCCCTGCAACTCCCTACAACTCCCTACTACTCCCCCAAGGCTCCCTAAGCTTCCGTAAGGTTCCTTCGGTACCTACCCCACATGAAACCCCCTCCCCCCATAAGAACCCTCAATTTACTGCTTTACTGTATGCCCTGAACCAAAACGCCTGAAGGCCCGAATCGACAAGAGGGCGTATGAGTGGACGCGACGGTGTGAGATCAGCCCGACTCTGGGATTCCATCTTAAGGTTAGGGTTTAGGGTTTAGGCTAAGAATTGGTTTTGCGGTCGCCGGGAGGGGTGGGGGGGGTTGGGTTATGTAGAACAAATAAGTGTCACCATGATTTTCGCAAGAGGCAGCTCATCTTGAGCAAAGATGTTTTGTTCCGCATCGCTGAGCATTCAGCTGCATTCTCTCAACTTCCCGGTTCAACTGCACAGAGGGGCGAGTCCTCTCCTGCATCTCACAACCAGCTGCGGCTTCCGCAAGGTGTCACATGTGTCACATAACGCACTGTCCCCCTTCCGGAAGGATACTAGAGGTCAGAACCTTGTTGCATGTTGCTTGACATCCACACTGCAACTCGGAAACCAGAACAGAGCAACGCAGAACAGCAAAACATTTTACTGAGATCATGATGCGATTCCCGCTGAAGGCGGTGAAGAAACTCTCCAATCCCGACTTGCTTGTTGATATTATAGGTGCAGGATTCGGTGCAGAAACGATTGCTCCTGCACAAGCCCATTAAACAGCGGGGAGAGCAGAAAGGCTTCGACTTGGGGCAGGATGGGTGGAGGACGTCAACACTCCAAACAGGGCGTGCTGCGATTTGCATGGTGCCCTGCCAGGGCGGCAAGGGTTCTGAGCCCCCCAGTCATGACCATACGCTACACAGCTCACATCTCGAAAGCTGGATTCCTCAGCCCAAAGCCTGCACTTTGCGTTGCAAGAATCAGGACTGGGCTGGAAGCCGCGACCCTTTACGAGCGGATTGCGGAGTATGAGAGCCCGGATCGCAAGGCCAGTTGCCGAATTCACATTAGTGGGTTCAGGGTTTGGGGTTTAGGGTTTGGGGATGGGGGATCCCGTTTTTTTTATGGACCCCAATAAGGTACTCACCAATTTCGGAAGCCGAACCCAGGGTCCCCCAAAAAGGTTACCCAGTCCGAAGCTCTCGTGAGCAAAGCTCACAACCTTGGCTTTCAACTCTGAATTGAGGAGCCTGGAGGGCTACGACTTCCGAAACATTCTAGGGCTAGGGTTCAGGGCCTTAGGGTTCATCGCTTGAAGGCCCGCTACACTCTGCTTCACTGCCGGCTGCTGACTGGACGCACCCATCAGATTCGAGTGCATCTGGCGCCCCGCCAGCGACAGTCTTGAATGTTGGAAATCGGTTTGTCCTGCTTGAAACTCGAAACTTGCGCTGCCAAGTAGCAGCAGGCTGTGCTTTTGGGATTGCAAGATCTCCGGGTGACACATTTCCGCTAAGGAGCACATCGGCATGCCGCTGGTGGGTGACCGGCAGCGACTTGTCATTGTTAGGGGTGGCATGTCTATGCTTTGTAAGGAGGACCGCTTCGCTTTTGCGGAAAGTCAGGGTGCCAGTTCCATGGTATCGAATTGTTGAATGTGTGCAATATAGGACGATGCAGATTAGGTGCACTTGACGAAGGGCTCTGGCTTGAACTCCCATATTAGGGGGGGGCTCAGGAGCTAGACCGCTTTACCTACCTGTTGCAGGTATCAGCGGAATCGTCGTACCTTCGACCCAAGCTTGGCCTGCGACCGAACCTTCCTGCACAAGGCGCTTTAAGGTTTCATGCATAGGGCCGATTTAGGTGTTATTTTTAGCACACCCGAATCTCCAATGCCCAAACCAGTCGACCGCAAATCTGACAGCCCTGAAGCCTGAAGCTTCAAGCCCGAGCTTGTAAACCCTAGAGCCCTCAAGCCCTAAACGCTCCACAAACCTGCAAAAGCGTGCCAGCCCTCAATCCACAGACTGGGAGGCTTTCAGCCTTCAAGCCCTAAGCCAAAGCTGGCTTCAGGGTTCAGGCTCCAGGGTCCCGTTGTTGGAATCAGCGCAGGTCCGCTTTATCCTCTGGACTTTCCCGACCGGCGAGCCAGTCGAAACTGGCCTGGATATTGGGTTCAGGGCACAGGGCAAGACAACCTCTGCTTGAGGCGCTTACAGAGATGGAGCTTCATGTTAAAAGGGGGACAAGACGATTGCATTACGTGAGCCAGCTTAATGTTTCTGGCATTCTGTGTGCAACACGACACCCCAGCCTACTTATCAAGCCCTCAGATCACCTGTTTGTGACCCCAAGGTCGTGTGGTCTCCGCTGAAGTATGCGGCTGATTTATGCGAGGTCCTGGGGAAGCTGAGGACGGGAAATAACTTGGGCAATGAAAATTCCCAGACCTCCGAGCCGTCGCGCCCAACACCCCCTATCAACTCCCTACAACCCCTATTCAACTCAAACCCCCCGACAAAGCAAAGGCCGGAACTCCGAGTCTCTCCCAGGAGAACGCACGGCTACGACTTCGAAGAGGCGTGCCCAAACCGGATCTGAGGCGGCGCGAAAAAGCCTGGAGATCGCTCGGCGCTCGAGGGTTTAGGGTTAGGGGATTCTAAGCTTGAGGAAACTAGGATTCTGGGGATTGGGCCATGGAGGCACTTGAGTTTAGAAAGCTTGTGGGTTCAGGCTTTAGGTTTGGGCTGGCTGCCCCATCAGAGCAGAATATGGTTTAGGGCTTCTGGGTTCACTAGGACACATAGGCTGGCCGCTTCTCACCCATGCCTTGCAATGCAATGCAAACTGAAGGTCAGACTTTTTCTCATCTGGCAAATTCAGTTTTTTTCTTGGTGCCTTCCCTGCAAGGCGTGGGGTATAAAAATGGTACTGGACACTGGGTGTTGGGTACTGGGCATGCAGACTGGGCACCGGGATATACTGGGTACTGAGCACCGGGTACTGGGCACCGAGTACTGGGTACGGGGTACTGGGCACTGGGTCTGCCCATGGGGTACCGGGTGCCGGGCGTTGGGTAATACTGGGTACTGGGTACTGCACTGGGTACTGGGCACCGGGATATACCGGTTACTGCATTTGCTGCAGCTTGCCGGGCGGCTCCCTTTCCATGCCCGCGTGCAAGCCAGTCGTGGGTCATGGGTGCCCTTGGCGGCAACTGATGTTCAGGAGGTGTGCTTCCAGGATGTTTCCAGCATTTGGGATCACGCGTGGAACAAGATTTCAGGTGGCGCTTTTCGGGGCGCAACATTGTGAGGCAACCCGGAATCTGACTTAAGGCACTCAAACCCTGGCAAAGAAGAGATGACCTCAGTACGCGAACCCTGGAAGGTGGATCGAATCTTTCAGACTCCCGCAAGAAGAAGCTCCGAGACCCAGAACTAAAGCACGGTGTCTAAGCATGGGCCGTCTAAGTGGGCACGCGTGTATTGGCCTTCCTGCCTGTCTCTTGAGGTCAAAAGTGCTGCACCGAGCGCAAGGCGGGGGGGTTCGGAAAGGCAGAAAGATGTGACCCAAGTTTTGGGTTTCAATTTGCTTTTTCTGAGTGTAGGGATGCTTTGTTTGCAAGGATACAAGTTGTGTAGTGAAGTGTTGATAAAATCAGAGTCACTGATGAAGTTCTTAAGGTCTGGAAGGGCCTGGCATTTTGACTTGTCCGGAACACAAGATAGGATCTCCTCGATTCTGGGGGAGATGTTGTCTGTGATCTTGGGGGCAGACATGGGCCACATAGGGCTTCTTGCCATCTGAGTATAGAACTGCTTGCGACAGACCCTAGAGGCTCCAGAGGCCCTAGTCGCGCCAAAGCACTTCAAAGACACCGCCCGGGCACGTTTGAGAAAATGGACCTGTCTCTGCGAGCCATGAAGCTCGTTAGTCCCTCAACCCGAAACCCGAAACCCGAAACCCTGAACCCTGAACCCTAGAACCTAAACCCGAAACCCTCAACTCAAGTCTTGAACTCTTAAGCCCTACGCCTGAATTCAACCCCTGTGAGGAGGGAGCCGGCGGCAAGGACACGGCGCGTGTAGGGTGCGGGCAGGAAGCTGTAAAATCACTGGGAGCTGGTTTCGGGGTTCATCTGTGTACGGTGGCTCGAAAGGGCTAGCAGCACAGCCGTGAGGGCTCCGGCAAAGCCCTAAAATTTTGTGGGAGTGAGATCGACCCGCTTTGTTGTGCCATGTAGTTCCTCGGATTGTGCATCAGTAGCTGGTGCTAAGCTGGGCCTCTGGGCAATGAATGTTGCTCCGCCCCCACTGCGACAGTGAACCACATAATGAAAGGGGTGCTATGGTCACATAAGTGTAACTGTTCACCGCAACTTCAAGCGATGGTGTCGCTCTCGCTGCCGGGAACTGTCGAGGGCAATTACGCTGCGCAGGATGCTCTTGTGACCTTTTCGGCCCCTGCAGCGTTGGTTGTATTAGGAGCCTTATCCATTTTTTCGATATCGTCCCAGCAACGAGTCAACATACTGAACGGACCTATATATAAGCCATCTTGCCCCCCCCCCACACCAGACTTGAGAGCTAGGGTTGGTTAGAAGGTTTCAAATTCGGTAGGGCCCTTGTGGCTGGGTGCCTCAGCCACCACTTCAACAGGACAGCAAGCCTCCCGGCGACCAAGGCTTTGCTGCGGGGCTTCATCGCTTGGTGACGGTTTTGGAGACTTTTCGATGCTTTCTCGGTTTCTCTCTCCTGAGCCTGTCTGCACCATCTAACAAATCTAGGGTCTTGCGCCGTTTTGGTGCTCGGGTTCGTCCTGACTGAAGCCAAAGCTTCCTTCTTCTTCTTTATTAGGACTCAGCTTACAGCTCATGCTGATCCCTTCTGGAGCGTAAGTTGTTTTTAAGGTTTGGACGTCTAGTGGATCTTATATAGGCCTGTGGGTTGCATGAGAAGTTTGAAGCCCTAAACCGCCACTGCCTCCGAAACTCCGTGGTAGGCGCACGCAAGTCTGCTGGCATCTCAGAGTGTCGAACAGGTAAGTTTGAGTTGCAAGCACGTCGGCCAAAAGAAAAGGTTGCCAAACTCAATTGTCAACAGCCCAGAAAAACCCACCGGAAGCCCAAAGCGTTTCTCTTTGCTCTCGGTCCAAGGTGGCTGGTGGAAGCTACGACACGAAAAAGAGGGCCCGGACTTTTACGGTTGACCCCCGTTGCAAACCCTCTTAATTTAGGGGCGGGGCTGTTGAGACAGGCAGTTTAAGGATCTTCGTAACGGTGTTCAGGGCTGTGACGCCTGAGGCAGTTGGAGCTAGATAGTTGCGCCACAGGCGGAGGCCTTGAAATGACTTTGCTAAGAGTGTGGGTGAACTTTGGAGTCTATGTGCGAAGACGGTGCACGCACGCAGGCATGCACGCACACGCGCCGGCCCGCCTGCAAACACTCTCTCTCTCCCACACATACACACACACACACACACACTTCTGGTAGAATCTTATGTCAACAAACTTGTACATTCACTGCTACAGGGAGTAGAGCAAGTAGAGGCGAAGACGTAGTATCGGAAGCACATGTTGATGATGTAGAAGCATGTAGAAGAGAATGATAATGAAGCATCACGGGGATGAGTTGCATTGAGTAGGTTACGTTGCTAACCAAAGGCCTACTAGACTGTACACATAAAAGGAAGACCACAATTCTGTTTCCAAAGGTGTGCCAGACGCCAGGAATGGCATAACTGTAAATGCAGAAGGCATAAAAGGGTAAATGAAGATGAACCACACCAGCTGGGCACGACTGCCCCGATGTGCGGTCGCGTTGCAAGTCCCGTAAGAACTTGATGTCCCCCCACACCCTACTCTAATCATTAAGGCCCCTATATCAGGCATTGTCGATGTTGCAGAGTTTGTTCCTGCACGTGGTGTCGTGGTCGTCCTTCGTCCCGGCGCTTGTTAGTCTTTGCGATCGTGCGGCGTGGTCACGGGATTATTCTTTGATGACTGGGGGTCTCTTGTTTTGCTGCCCTCGAGTCCACACCGTGGTACCTTTCAAGGCATTAATCCTCCCGACTATCAAAACGCGAGTCTCCATCTTGACAGCTTCCTTTCCAAAACGGTCAAAAGCAGGATGTTGGAATCCTCCAGTGCCAGGCCATATCCATCGGATATCATTCCAAAGGGGATGATTCGGAGAAGTTTGACAAGGCAAGGCTGCTAGCATTGGTGTTGGTATTGAGGGTCTGAGGTTCGACCCAGTTTTCGCATCTGCCCTTTCTGTGTTTTGAGGTCTTCGAGACAGCGGGGTAGTCTTAACTTGTCCCTTCAAACTCAGAATATAAACAGGCAAGTCCAAGCTTGGAACCCAGGGTAAGGGTTGAGTCCTCTCACACCCCCAGCCTCCACCGTTAAGGGGTTTGAGGCCGAACCCAGCAGTAATTTATTTCCTCCCTAAGCCCTTGAACCCAAGCTTGACCCCTAGAATTTCCAGGCCCCGGTCTCGGATGACCATGGCCCGGTAGGGTGATGTTTGATAAAGAAAAAGGCTCTGGCCCTTGGAAGCTCTGTTGGTATCCTAAACAAGCCGAAACCCAGAACTCCCCAAGCTTGGCATCCAGGCCTTTGAGACCAACGATCTGAAAGCTTTCGTGGAGCTGCTCTCATCCCAACAGGCAATTTTTCCAGCAACGAAGTTGACAAGTTGACATCAGGATGCTAAGCCCCTGAACACGAAATGCTAAAGGCCTAAAGGCCTTGGTTTAGAGTGTTCCTGCATGTGGACTCGGGTTGCATTGCGGGTGGTGCAGTGAAGGAGCGGCGCACGGAGCTGGTCGCACAATTGTATGTGTTGGAGTGGCAGGGCATGGTGCATACGTGATTCTTTGGCATGCATGTCTTCCCAAGCATGGAAGCCCCGCAGTGACATCATGCGTGTGAGGGACAGGGTTAGGGATGATCAAAGATGGTTAGGATTTTGGTATTGTTTGAGTTGGCATTTTGGGGTGTTGAGTTTCGGGCCTGTCCTTGAAGGCTGATGAGCTTAGTTGAAAGCCGCGAGACTTCCTTTTGTAACGGAAACAATCCTGAAGCCGAACCTGCCCGGAGGCCCTAAGGCCTACACACCAAGTCCTAAACTCAAAAAGCCCTGAGCCGACTGATCTCGGGCAGGCCATCGAGTGAAAGCCCCAGTCAGAATGCACAGACAGCCTACAGTCGGCTTGCGCTCAGTTGGGATACATGTGGAAGCCCTGGGCAAATGAACAGTCTTGGGTGTCATGGCTCAGAGCTTGAAACTGCAAACCAAGCTCCCAACGCAGCTGCAAGTCCAAAACCCTGGACGTCACAACAGCGTGCAGTTGAAGCACTTGCTCCAAGGTCCTTTGACGAGCGCATGCACCCCTGGGCGGAAGATCCCAAAACAGCTGGTGCCCAAGATTCGGGTGGGCAGTTCAATGTGGGCTTTGGGCCGCACTTTCTACATCATGCAAGTACGTCTCAGGGGTCTCAGTCTGGGGATGGGGCGGCTGGGCGGGGGGGGCGGCGTGGCACCATTGCATGGAACTACTGAGGTCCGGCCAACTTACGACCAGATGCTTTTCAG